CCTCCGAAAATTGATGCACCACGTCGAATCCCATTTTCGCTGCATGACAGATTGAAAAAAGAATTGAGTGCAATGGAAAACTTAGATGTCATTACAAAAGTCATTGAGCCTAAATCTTGGGTAAGTTCCCTTTTACTGGTTGAAAAGAAGAATGGTCAAATAAGAGTCTGTCTTGACCCAAGAAATTTAAATAGAGCAATTCGCAGGTCTCACTATCCGATACCAACCATAGATATTGTCCGTTCAAAACTTCACGGTGCAGCTTATTTTTCTACTCTCGATGCCAGTAGTGGGTTCTGGGCTGTGTGTTTAGATTTACCTAGTTCTCTGTTGTGCACATTTAATACACCATTTGGACGCTATCGGTTTAAACGTTTACCATATGGCATAAACTGTGCACCTGAAATATTTCATCGAATTATGACTGACACGTTCGGTGAGCTACCTGGAGTTATTGTGTACGCTGATGATCTCCTTGTATTTGGGTGTACTCAGCAGCAGCACAATGAAAACCTCGAAAGAGTCTTCCAGAAGGCAAAAGAAGTCAACTTGAAATTCAATAGAAGTAAGTGTACTTTTGGAAATTCTATTGTCAAGTATTTAGGTCACATATTTTCTAAGGATGGAGTTTCTGTAGACCCTGATAAGGTTCGTGCCATTACGGAGATGCCGTCTCCTACATGTCTAAAGGATCTTCAAAGATTCCTTGGTCTTTTAAACTATTTAGGTGGATTTATTAATAATTTAGCTAATGAAACTGAACCTATCAGAGATCTGCTAAAAAAGTCAAGTCAATGGCAATGGAATGCCTGTCATGAAGAAACATTTTGTAAGCTAAAAAATATTATATGTCAAAGTCCAGTCTTAGCGCACTTCAACGTCAAACAGTCAGTCGTCCTGTCAGTAGATGCAAGTCAGTCTGCAGTAGGAGCAGTATTGCTTCAGAATAAACATCCAATTTCATATGCATCTAAGAGTCTAACGTCAAGTCAAAAACGAATGGCTCAAATAGAAAAGGAGCTTTATGCCATTGTTTATGGTTGTTTAAAGTTTCATCAATATGTTTATGGTCAAGTTGTTACTGTAGAAACTGATCATCGTCCTTTGATAACTCTATTTAAAAAACCATTAGCTGAAGTTCCTACTCGTCTTCAAAGGCTTATGCTCAAGATACAGGCATATGATCTTCGCGTAGAGTACAAACCAGGCTCAAAAATGTTCATAGCTGACACACTCTCACGTGCACCTTTGCCTGAAAGTAATGAAGATGAATTAGATGAGGAAGTGGCTATACATGTAAATTTGTTGATTAAAAACTTACCAATTTCAGAAAAACGTCAACAGTGGCTAGTTGAGGCTACCAAAAAGGATGAGTCTCTCCAGCTTATTAAGGAATATTATATGAATGGATGGCCATCAAGCAAATCTCAAGTCAGTCTACTGGTAAAGCCATATTGGAATTGCCGACATGATATACATGTTATTGGAGATTTAATATTTAAAGGTAACAGTTTGATTATACCAAGATCATTGAGGTCAGAAATATTAAAAATAATACACAGTGGTCATCAAGGCATTGAAAAGTCTAAAAATTTTGCAAGAGGTGTAGTATTTTGGCCTTTGATGTCACATGACATACAAAATTTAATTCAAAACTGCCAAACATGTGTATGTCACCAAAAAGCCAATAAACCAGAACCTATGCTACCCCATAATATTTCTGCTTTCCCCTGGGAAAAAGTAGGTATAGATTATATGTATTTTAGAAATCAAACTATATTAATAGTTGAGGATTACTACTCCAACTATATTGAGATGGCAAACGTAAGCACTACAAATGCTGAATCTTTAATTAAAGCATTAAAACCAATATTTAGTAGACATGGAATACCTTATTTTATTATGTCAGATAATGGACCTCCCTATAATTCCAAAGAATTTAAAAAATTTACAGAAGATTGGAATATAGAACATATTACTTCTAGTCCCCACTTACCAAGATCTAATGGTCTGGTAGAATCAGGTGTAAAAATAATTAAAAACCTACTTACCAAGTGTTATGAATCAGGATCAGATCCCCATTTGGCTCTTCTTCAGTACCGGACGACACCTAGAGGAAATTTGCCAGCTCCATCTGAGCTTTTGATGTCACGTAAATTAAGAACGCAGTTACCAGCAGTTGCAGATCATTTTAAACCAAAAGTAATTGAATATAAAAATTATTACAAAAATAAATATAATAATAAACTGTCACAAAAGTCATACTATGATAAAAAAGCTAAAAGCTTACCTGCATTAGAAAAAGATGAAAAGGTTATGTACAAGAAAACTCCTAATTCAAATTGGCTACCCGGTAAAGTTGTAGACAAATGTTCAGAACCCAGATCATTCATTATAGAGACCCCAGAAGGCGATATTTTTAGAAGAAACCGACAGCATATAATAAAATCACCATTAGACACAACAAAAGTAGAAAAAGAAGTACAAGAGGAAAAAGGAAAAGAAGGAACATCTGAGGTTGTAGTTGAAAATACAAATATCAAAAGAACATTGAGCGGTAGACAGGTTAAGCCACCAGTAAGGTACATGTTTGACTAATATTAGAGTAATTGTTGTTGGATATAGTTTTAATTTAATTTTATATAAAGGAGGATGTTACATTAGAAAAAATATTGTTTGATATAGTCTTAATTTAATTTTTATAAAAAAGGAAGATGTTATATGTATAAGTAGTGGAACGGAACGCAGTCTTACTTCCCGCTGAAATCACTGTCATCGGCTGTCACTTTTAGCTATTATAAAATGGTCGTGTCATGGTCTTACAAATAAAACTAATTATAAAATATAAGTCTTTTTTAATAGTAAAACACCATCCATAGGGAAGACTGTGCCCCAGCAGTGGTGATATGGTCATAGAGTGGTCTAGAGGTTCCAGACAGAGAGGAGACTCCCCCGTGGGGAGATGCCATCCGCCTGGAACACCTCTTGAGGCACTCATCAAGTCTCGGCACTGGACCCTCGTGGTGGGCAATGGCCCAATCTGTCTATTCCATCCATAGGGAAGACTGTGCCCCAGCAGTGGGGATATTAATAAGCTGATGATGATAATGATGATAATAATAGTAGAACCTACCGCTAATTTCACTAATGAACTACCGTTCTACAGGCTGATTCCCATCTGTTTTTAGACATAATCTCTGTAATCTGTGCCTTAGCTGTATTACATTATCGTTTTGTTTACTAATGACGTCATTGGAATACCAGTACCAGACCTGATTGGTCTGCCTAACGTAAAACGTTTGATTACTAATTATAGTTTTACCCAGTTCCACAGCCGAGTTCACGTTTGGCGCATACGAATCGACAAATAAAGCTCTTTTACCGCAGTAATTAGAGCAGCATTTAGTACCTACTGTAGGTAAGTAGAATTTTATTAGAATCATAGTTATATCTAATTAACATTATAAACGCGAAAGAGTGTTAGTTACTCAATCAAGCAAAAACGGCTGAACGGTTTTGGATGAAATTTGGCACATATTATAATGTATTAGTTCATAATCTGGATTGAGGCATAGGATACTTTTTATCCCGGAAAAATGTTTGGTTTCTGCAGTATAAAAAAAAAAACAAAGTTATCACGGACGAAGTCGCGGGCGGCTGCTTGTAATAAATAACTTGTGGACGAATTTAAAATAGTTTTTATGCTATTCATTAATAAAATTGTAACGACAATTTTGTTAAAAAGTTACTTACGCTGATTTCTCAGCAATATGGGCTAAAATTGGCCAATTGCGAACCGCGCTAGAAGTAATAAAATCTCCTTTTTTAAGATAGGCCTTTTTTATTATTTGTTTTATCGGCAACACTCGGCAACCTCGTGAAACTTTCAATGTCCCACCTTCTACGTCGTTGTCACACTTTGGGTACGATGCCACAAAATATATTACACTAGATGTGGAATCGCAGTTTCACCGCAGGGCACATCTAGTACCCTTAAAAGATAGACGTATGCTGCCACGGTTTTTGAAAATAACTTTTAAAGGAGAACAAATCCGCGACATATGTTTTTATAGAGAGAAGCCAATAGAAGAATTCAGTTGGGCTGGGCAGCATTTCGTAAGCTTCGTCAAGTCTTCTCGTCACCCATCCCTCAATGTCTCAAGTCGAAAGTCTTCGACCAGTGCGTCCTCCCAGTTATGACATACGGCGCCGAGACGTGGACACTCACGGCTGGATGAGTCCACCAGTTTAAAGTCGCTCAGAGAGCTATGGAAAGGGCTATGCTCGGAGTATCCCTAAAGGACCGCATCAGAAATGATGTAATCCAACAGAGAACCAAAGTCACCGACATAGCCCACCGAATTAGCAAACTGATGTGGCAGTGGGTTGGTCATATTAGTCGGAAAGTTCTTGAGTGGAGACCACGACTCGGTAAACGTAGTGGAGGACGCACTGAGACAAGATGGGATGATGATATTCGTAGGCTGGCTGGAGTGGGCTGGATGAGAGTACCACAAAATCGGGAGCAGGGGCGTGCGTTAGGGGAGACCTAAGTCCAGCAGTGGACGAACATGGGTTGCTGATGATGATGATATTTTTGGTGTAATTTTTACTGTTTACGCAGCGCACGCAACGGAAAGCTTTAAAATGGAATATTTTGTCCTATTCTTGCAAAAATTTTCATTGATTCTTCGCTTCTATTGGTCGCAATCTTATGTTATATAGCCTTTAATCTTCCTCGATAAATGCACTATAAAATTGATAAGTTCAAACCGGACCAATAGCTCCTGACATTAGCGCGTTCAAACAAAGAAACAAACTTTTTTAGCTTTATTATATTAGTTAATGTTGGATGGTTTGCTACACTACCAAATTGTTTATATTGTTTAAACAATGAACCGTTAACCATCGGATAAAATATATTCTAGCAAGTTACTGCATCTCTGCGTTTCATTAATTCCAAGAGTAAAGAAGTAAATATTGACAAAGACTGTACTTACGTTCTTGGTATCATACTGATATTGGTTTTTCTGCTGGAGGTGAGTCTTCTAGAAGTAGAGAGGGACATGGAACCACGTGTCCCTTGCGATGATCCACCCCGGCAAAGAAGATACCTTAGACAAAGAAGATAAAATCGTTTAATGACATTGTGACGTGAGGTAACGACATAGCTTTTTTTTGTTGGTATCGTTACTATTATTTTTATTTATGTTAAGAAGGTGGCAAACCTTTTTTTTATTTATAACGCAGGTAAAAACTATATTTACAGACGTTGGCGCCCTTAAGGGGCACGCCATCGAACGGACCTCGCACCTAGCCTCTCGCAAGTCTCACGGGTGCGAAACGGAAAAGCCGTTAAGCAGTCCGCTCTGCTTACAGGCGCTTGCAGCAAAGTATCCGCTAAAACACCCTGCGAATACCCTCTACGCTGTTAAGTGCGGAACCGCGAGATCCCCGTTGCGGGACTTCACCGCTTCTCCGCACCCAACAGCCTCCCGGTCTAGCTGGGGCTCCACGGCAGGGATCACCCGCGATACCCCGGGTGGTCCCGCAGACGTGCGCAGGACTACCCGCGCTGGAAGCTAAGTGCGCGGCCTATTACCCACCGCACCGCTCCCCGTCCTCTGCGGAAGGATTGCCTACGCATTCCCCTAGCAGGCCCTTCCGCGGCCCTCTCATGTAGGACAGAACTACAAGAGAGGGCTGCCGTCACGGAATCCGTCGGTGACCGGCATGGCTAACGCCTTACCGGGCAGCGAGGAAGAAGGTGGCAAACCTAGTGTAGTGTTAAGTACTTGAGTCATTGGGTCACTGAAGATCTCAAGGACAATATCGACATAGAGAGAGAGCATACATAGGTCGCTGGTTGTGAAATGTAATATGCTGGCCCGAAGGTTTGCATGGTGTACGGATGCAGTAAAGGTCACTCTTTATAAAACTTACTGCCAATCATTCGTACGTGCAGTCTTTAGACTAACTATGCGCAGCGGGTATATAGCAACCTGCGTATCCAATATAACAACACCCTCAGGATACTGTTGAGACTGTCGTGGAGTTGCAGCGCGTCAAAAATGTTTGCGGAGGCGCATACGGACGACTTCTATGCTATTATAAGAAAGATGTCCACTTCCATGCTCACAAGGCTCCGCTTTAGTACCAATAGCCTCCTGAGAGTATTTAATGACCGGTGGGACACTCCTCTGCTACGACACTGGGTGAAGATCCATATTCTGTAATAATATATTATGGAATTCTCTATTATAATAACATATTTGTAAGTAAATCAAATGTAACTAACACTATGGAACTTAGTTCTGAAATATTTTTTTTAACTCACACCAATTAGCCTAGCCCCAAGGTAAGCACTGTAAGGCTTGTGTTATGGGATGCTAGGGTAACGTGTAGAATACATATATGAGTATATTTATATAGAAATACATATTAAACATCCATGACTGGAGTACAAATGCTCGTATTCATCACACAAACATCTGCCACCACCGGGATTCGAACCTGGGACCTTTAGAGTGGGCGACACCATACAACCCTGCGTACAAACCACTCGGCCACGGAGGTCGTCAAATTTTTATTAATAATTATTTGAATTGAATTGAATAGCGGATTTGCCGCTCGAAGTGGAGCGCCCGTCTGGGGAAGTAACCTCCACATGCCTGTAAGCAGAAGATCACAGTAAAATAACACTTTTGGTGGTGTTATGTTTCTGTTGGTGAGTAAGGTTCTAGGGCTCCACGGGGTAGGGGATCAAGTCAGGGTAGGCTACGGCGCGAGTGTCATTTCTCTTATCATAAGCGTTTATAAGCTACTCTAAAAAAAGTTTCGAGATACTTAAAAAAAAATGTTACCTATTACATAAAAATAGTGATTACATATAGTTATTAGTAGACAAACTCGGTTTTGTTAAAATAGTATTGTAGTTAAAACATAATAGTTATGTAAAATTAACAAAACTGTTTGTTAATTCACTTGTTTAGTAATTAGTTACAAAACGATTGCTTTAGTATAGCTTCACATTCACTATAATAGTGTTATTTGTATCCGAACTATTTTGTCATCTGCAACATAATTTTCTGCTTTAAAACCCTGTACCTACTATTTACTAACAATTAAGTACTGAGTACGCACAGAGGACTGATATAATCATAATACCGTGGTTACCAATATAATTTCAAATACAAGTTTTATAAACTTACTTTATATGGATGCGCAATACGATTTCTATAGCGCGATCCAGCGGATTTACCGAAAATTTTAGAAAACACGTACTTGCAATCTGTAAGCGAACTTATTGGGTAACAGTTACATCACTTTTCAGTTATTCATAGAGGTTTTTGTGCTTGCTAATAAATAGCACAAAATAGTTTTAGTTAGGTCAACTCTATGTAAATAATTGTTATATTATCACCAGACCCGTCTTTCCCAGTGGGCACTTTGGGCAAGTGCCCAGGGCCCCGTGATCGGTAGGGGCCCACCTCAGATCACAAATACAAAGTCCCTAGTTCCTGTTAGATTACCAAACGGGGGTCATAGGGGCCCCATTATCCTAATATGCCCAGGGCCTCCAATAGGTCAAAGATGGCTCTGGTTATCACACCAAAACTCCCACATTCTCGCCATTCCACAATGACTGTCAGGGTCCGCCTACTATTGTAAATATTTGCAGAAACCCATTTATATAATATCCTTATCACTATTCCTTTTGTATTGTATAGCCTTAATATTTTATTACCCTTCTTTTACATTGTATTGTATTGTTGTTTAGGTAAAGTGTTCATCCTTAGCCATTAAGATAAATTACATGGTATTGTATTGTTGTTTAGGTTTAGTATTCATCCCTAGCCATTAAGATAATGTTCATTTTATTTGTAAGCCATATAACCTATTGTAAACCTTCTATTCCTATTCCTTAACTATTAAGATAATTGTTTGTGCCATTTCCCTGAAATGTGTAGGAATGTTTTTGTTAACCATTTCTTTGCATAAATAATCCAGATCCCTGGATAAGCTTAAGCAGTCAGTTCAGCTGTATTCATACTAGCGATAAGCTGTGATCTAAGTAAATTCTACAAGATTGTAAGGACAGAGCTCCAAATAAAGTTGAGTGGAACAAAGTCTCGCCTCTTACTTATAATATAATCACCTCAAGTGTGATTGATTATAACAATAGGTACATTATTACGTTACGGATTATCGAAATCGAATTTGACAGCTTATAACAAAATGGTTTAGTAGTTTTTAACTAAACTCAATTAACTGAAATTATATTGTTAAATGTAACAGAACAGTTGGTCTATTCCTCGGTTAACTAAACTAGTTTTGTAAATTACTCTTTTCAGTGTATATGTTATGGGCCAAGTGATTAATGCGGGCAGTATTCATAATGCCAGGGCAGTATGAATAATGTCCAATCATATCGGACCAAGTGATTAATTACAATATAAACTCACCTATTTATCACATTGCCCGGCCATTATTAATAATGCCGAACGACTCGTGGTCCATGTAATAAGTCAGTGTTTGAGATAGCTTGAATTTATCACTTGGACCGGGCAGTATGCATAAATTCTAAAAGTTGGTACTATTATCAAAATGACAGATGTCTCGCCATTTTGTGTTTGTTTTAAGATCTTGGTAAATAAAAAAGAGTATGGGCTCAACACTTAGAAAAAATGGTAAATGTGGCTATACCACAGTCTTTAATTCAGAACCGACTTGGTCAACCCCGACACACCATGGTCTTGGTCTGCCCTACCCCTAGAGTGTTTTTCTGAGACCGGAGGCGCGGAGGGCGTGCATCCTCCGCCTGCTGTGACAAAGCCGCAAGCATGGTGCGACCCGTAACGCCTGAGGCTGGTCGACCAACAAGCCGAAGGTGTAAAGGGGAGTGATGCTTGTGACTTTGTCACGCAAAGGCGGAGGGGCTGCTATTCCCGCAGCGCCGGAGATAAGGCCAAAGTACTAGTTCTTACTTCCCTAGTCCTTGCATCCTAAAAAAGAGATAACCATAAATTCTGAAAATTTAACAGATTTAATGAATTTTTCAAACAAACTGCATTGAAACTACTATAGACTATAGTTTCTAAATGTAGCCCTTCGTAAATTGATCGAAGTAAAACCGAAGTCTGATTATTTAAATTTTAAAAATAAATACTAAACTATAAAACATGTTTTTATTATTACTCTACCTGATAATTGATTGCATTACTTGTAATGCTCGGTCTATCTAACTAAGTATTCATTTGAAAGTATTAAATATGCTTTACATCACTCTGCCCAATAGGCACTGGGCATTATTCATAATGCCCGGGCTATGTGATAAATAGATTGGTTATAATCACATTGCCCGCACTAATGAGCATTATTCGTATTGCCCGGGCATTATGAATAATGCCCGATTTATCACTTAGGCCATAACATATACACTTGCAAGTCACCCTTTTAACATATAAAAATAATATGATATTTGTATTTTCGTCAACAAGTAACATTAACTATATCAAAAATCAATACTATTGAAACACTATTGACTGATACACGATAATACGATGCCTATTATAATATGATTACTTTAGCAGAATCGACAGCCTCGGTAATAGGACAAAATTTTCACTGTTGAAAATAGGTTAAGAAAAGATTTGAACAAAATATTTTTAGTTTTCTTTTATCTCTTTTACTACACACATTTAAAAATTTATTTGGTTTTAAAATAAAGTAGGTACATTATTAAATAAACGTGCTTGATAAAATATTCTGAGATGAGAAATAAAAGACGATCAATTTCTCAGTCTTGTGAGCACGATTCGAAACGTCAAAATCGTTAAGAATTATGTGAAGGTGAATATTCAGTTGAACACCCTTTTTAACGAGTAATTGAGTTTCTTGCAATTAAATACTGATTGTGTTAACAAAATTTTATGTTGCGTATATCGTGTACCTACATTAATAAGATTTGAAATCGTATCTTAAAATAAACTTAAACGTTACCGTTATCGTTAAATAGTTAATATAAACATTAACCATTTAACTGCTAGATCTTTAAATCTAAAGAAAAAACTCTTGTTGGCGCCCAAATTTTAAATTGGCGCTGTCTTGCAGC